TCCGTGCAACCCATGGATTTCCATCTAGTTATGTTGTATAACGTAATTGTATTTTATGTTAAATGCATAAGTAGTTTACCTTTTGGAGGTATATTTTCATTTGATAATTCATTAGAAATTATATTCCCTCAAAGTTACCTAAAATGTACTCGTAATTACTATTTTGGAATCACCCGTTCTTCAATTAATGGTAGCATTATTTCTACCTTCTATATGGCTAAATACACTCGTTTTATACAAGATAGACGAAATTTCCCTCGATGGATTCTACATTTATACAATTTTCCTCAATTTAGTCTTTTTCTAATGTGGGTTCCCTTCAAATTTAAACCCTTTGTTGTTAAAAAGGAAAAATGGACATTTTCTTTGCCAAATCCAAATTGAATGAAATCAAGCTTTCATTAACATATTTCTTTTACTTTAGGCAGAGTTTTGATTTAACTTAATTTTATCTTTCAAGTTTCCGTTGTACTGTGAAAAGGTTTTCTGGTATTGTCTTTAAAGGGGCTCTGCAGTAAAATTTTATCTTTCATTAACATTGTCGGGACTTTGTAGTAAAATTTTTAAAGGGGCTTCTTTTTGTGTTATTCCATTTTACTTATATAAAATCAACAAATTAAAATTTTCGGGTATTTTTCTATATTACAAACATCGTTTGCATTCAGATTTTTCTTATATAGAAGAAAACTGATAAGAAAGGGTTTGATGGTGATATGCACAATAAAAGTGAAAAATTGTAAACAAGTGATCATGTTAAAAGATTTTCCATATATATTTTTTTTCTAAATTCTATTTGACAATTTATCCTTAAATTTGCTTGACAAAGTAAAAAAAAAAAACTAGGTTTCTTGGAAATTTGTTTTTTTCGAAAAAAAACTAATTTTTATGAAAGTAAAATCTAACAATGAAAAAAAAACACATAGTGCCTGTAATATGTCCGAGATATCTACAATAAAGAAAAACTAAACACGTGAAATTTTTTATTATGGTAACTAGATCCTGTACATAAATAAACAAAATAAAAAAAGGAAAGTTAATAAATGTGGGGCCGCCACTTAAATTGCAATGCAATGATGTGAGGTAATTTTGTCTTTTTTATGAAAATTGGGTGAATTTAGTTATACAAGAGATGAATATAGCCCTGCCCTTACCTGTCATGTGACAAAATCTAAGTAATTTCTCTACTGGGCAAAATTATCAACATGCATGGAGGAGTAAAAAATGAAGGAAAGATAGGCTTACGATATATATGGTAATATCCACTTAAATATGTTATTCTTGGATATGGTAACCATATCCTACATAAGGAAGAAAGTATGTAAACGTGATTCACTACTTTAAAGTTTCAATTCATTAAATAAAAAGGAAAACTCCATCTCTTTAAAGAAAATCGGGTGGAAATACAAGGTGGGAAGATAAAACTTTCCTCTTTTGAAAGTGTTCAACTCAGTCCAAAAGTTCCATTTTATTCGTGGCATAATGACATAAACAGTTTCTGAACTTTGGCTCGATGCACAATGTGGTCTCCGAACTTTTAATCCATTCAATACGGTACCTGAACTTTAGCCTAATGTTTAATGTGATCCTTGAACTTTTAATTTATTCAATGTGGTCCATGAACTTTTGGTGCATGTTCAATATAGTCCTCGAACTATATGAAATTATTCAATATAGTCCATGCATTGAAATTAATGGAAGGACTACATTTAACATCTTGATATAGTTCAGGGATTAAATTGAGCGTATATCAAAAGTTCAGGAATTACATTACAAATTGGATTACAATTCAGGGATCATATTGAACAAATTAAAAGTTCAGGGGCGATATTACGTATCGAATTAAAGTTCAAAGATCATTTGTGTCAGTTTCCGTATATTCATAGATGTTTTTTGGGGTAATTCCGCCCAATCTCACCGGCAGGAAATCCAATTTTTCTCCCACCTTCTTTGATATTATTTTGTGATATTTTCTTCCCTCGACAAAAATAATAAAAGAACTATTCCTTAAAAACCTAGACGAGCCAACTTTCTCCCCTTAGGCTCGAGCAAGTCGTCGTCGTCGTCGGCTTCTTCTTCTTCGTCTTCCTCGCTCTCTCTGCGAAACCACCCCCTCACATGGCTTCCGCCGCCCCAGCCCCGGCCTCCCCGGCCCCGGCCCGCCGCTCCCCTCTCTCTTCCAAGCCCTCCGCCTCCGCCTCCGCCTCCGCCGCCCTCTCCCTCCGCCTCCGCGCCCGCCTCCCCCCGACAACCCTCTCTAAACCCCTCTTCCCCCTCAAGCCATCCCTCGCTCCCCACACCCACAGGCTTCCCTCCTCCGCCGCCGCAGGGAGCCCTCTCTCCGGCTTCTTCTCCCCCGGCGGCGACCGCCCCCTCCACGACGACGACGCCCTCCGCGACGAGTCCGACGACAAGCCCCGCGAGGAGTGCGGCGTCGTGGGCATCTACGGCGACCCGGAGGCGTCGCGGCTCTGCTACCTGGCCCTCCACGCGCTCCAGCACCGCGGCCAGGAGGGCGCCGGCATCGTGGCCGTCCACGACAACGTTCTCCAGTCCATAACGGGCGTCGGGCTCGTGTCCGAGGTGTTCAACCAGCCGAAGCTCGACCAGCTGCCGGGGAGCTCCGCGATCGGGCACGTGCGGTACTCCACCGCCGGCTCCTCCATGCTCAAGAACGTCCAGCCCTTCGTCGCCGGCTACCGGTTCGGCTCCGTCGGGGTCGCCCACAACGGCAACCTGGTGAACTACCGGGCCCTGCGCGCGCAGCTCGAGGAGAGCGGGTCCATCTTCAACACCAGCTCGGACACGGAGGTGGTGCTCCACCTGATAGCAATCTCGAAGGCGAGGCCCTTCTTCGTGCGCATCATCGAGGCCTGCGAGAAGCTCAAAGGTGCGTACTCCATGGTGTTCTTGACTGAGGATAAGCTCGTCGCTGTTAGGGACCCACATGGGTTTAGGCCATTGGTGATGGGTAGGAGGAGCAATGGTGCTTACGTTTTCGCCTCCGAGACTTGTGCTCTCGATCTGATTGAGGCCACTTATGTGAGGGAAGTGAACCCTGGGGAGGTTGTGGTGATTGATAAGGATGGGGAGCATAATCTCTGCTTGATGCCGCACCCCGAGCCGAAGCAGTGCATCTTCGAGCATATCTACTTTTCGCTGCCGAATTCCATTGTGTTCGGTAGGTCTGTCTACGAGTCGAGGTCTAAGTACGGGGAGATTCTGGCCACTGAGTCCCCGGCCGAGTGCGATGTCGTGATCGCGGTGCCGGACTCCGGCGTGGTGGCCGCTCTTGGTTACGCCGCGAAGATTGGCGTGCCATTCCAGCAGGGGTTGATTAGGTCTCACTATGTGGGAAGGACTTTCATTGAGCCTAACCAGAGCATTAGGGATTTCGGGGTGAAGCTTAAGCTCGCCCCGGTCCGGGGAGTGCTAGAGGGTAAGAGAGTTGTCGTCGTGGATGACTCGATCGTGAGGGGAACCACGTCATCAAAGATTGTGCGGTTGATCAGAGAGGCAGGGGCCAAGGAGGTCCACATGAGGATCGCGAGTCCACCCATAATTGCTTCCTGTTACTATGGAGTGGACACGCCGAGCTCGGAGGAGTTGATTTCTAACAGGATGACTGTGGAGGAGATACGGGAGTTCATTGGGTCGGATTCACTCGCATTCCTGTCTTTCGATAGCTTGAAGAAGTATCTGAGCAGTGACTCGCCAAACTTCTGCTATGCTTGCTTCTCGGGGAATTACCCTGTCAAGCCCACCGAGGTCAAGGTGAAGAGGGTTGGCGATTTTCTGGATGATGGCCTGAATGGAAGCATAGAGTCCATTGATGGGGGTTGGGTTAAAGCTCGGACCGAGAAAGAAGAGAAGGTTGAGCACCCAGTTTAGATGCCATCCTTCGTCTCCGGTGGTGTGACAACGACGAAGCTTCGTGTGATTCCTGATTTGGAGTAAGGGGTATAGGAATGATCCAATTGCTTTTGTGATGGATGGGCCTGCCTTGGGGGAAATTCGGCTTCCGAAAATCCAAAGCCTCGGTATATCGGTCCCGTCTCCAGTTTTGAGAAACTAAAAAATGGGTAGGAGTTGTTGTTTCCGTGATCTTGAGGGTGGGATAAGAAGATTGAGTTTCGTTCTGATGATTATTTTTGTTAACCTCAAGTATTGCATTGTATACCAGCTTTTGCTTGACTGCTTCATATTTACTTGATGAAAGAAATAGATGAAGAATTAGATGGAGTTCTCTTCCCTTTTTTATCGTTCTCGCTGTTCATATAATCTCATATGCTTCAAGAACTCAGATTCGCGCTCAGCTTCTTGTCGCCGCATTTCGATTGCGAAGTATTGAGCTCCATGACCATACGTAGTACATTTTGCTCCGTCTGTAGTTTCCCCAGAAAGAGATCTGGCTTCTTTCGTTACTTTCTGCAGTTGCTAGGGGATTAGAAGCTCTCTTTGGTAGCTAAAAGCAATTCATATGCTTCTCTTGGAGCTTCTAACGATGAGCAAAATCTCAGTCGTTTCTTGCTTTTTTATCGACTCATGGCTGTCCAATTTGCGCACTTCACTCGCTCTGTTCAATGGTTATGTAACACCGTAGGAAACACCAGTTTGCTTGTTGAAGTTTGCTTGCTTGCGTTATAAGCTTGGATGGATTCATGGGCAGTCGCCCTCCGGCAAAGGAAGTACCTGTCGTGACGAGATTTTGTATTTCTGGCCATTGTAGATTTGGTGCTCAGATCTCAGAGATCCAATTTTTGACTAGACCAGGTTTTGTGAACTCAAACATCAAAAGATCTTTAACATAAGTCACCGCGTTCGCATGAATCAAGTTCAACTCAAACTCGATATTCCGATCTCGAAGAGTCTTTAAGCAGTGAAGTGAAGCTTTGAAACACTGGCAGGGAAAAAATAACAATAGAAACTTGCTTATGCTTGTTGCTAGTACCTGCTCAGAACCCCCAGATGAAACTGGAAAGCAACTATGCGAAACAAAAAGGTTGTCCAAATTCTAAAATTTTTTATGCTTTATTGAATACAAGGTAAAAGCAGACATGTCGAGATGGATAAATTATGATCTCACGGTTGTTGAAGTAATACATTGCTTTGACAATGCCCGCGCAGCGACCTAGCCGTCCTGTTTATAGCCATTTCCAGACGCTGCATGGGTAATTTCCGGAGGCTCGTCCTAAGACAAGATTCACAGCCTCAAGGCATATATCAGTATAATTGCCACACGAAGACATCGCGGGACCAAAATCACTACACCAAAAGAATGGTGTCATATCATGCAAAACTCTTCATAATTAGCCATTCTCTGCTCTGTCATAAGCATTTGATTTATGCTTTGGCGCAAAAGTGAAGCCATCTGGAACTTTACCAAGAAGCATTTCTGAGATCCGAACCTGCAGGGGTAGGAAATTTATATCAGCACTTATAAGCTTTTACTGCTCACGGTATCTTTCCACATAAATTTTGGGTTCGGAACAAAGGAGAAAATCATACCCAGTCAGCTGCAGAATCAGATGCCATTAGTGTCTCCAGGTCATCCCGACCATAGTAGGAGGGCGGACGCCAATTCAGTTGCTGAGGGACGACTTCCAAAAGCCCAACTGGTACATATCTATACGTGTAGCTCAGCCATTCCAACAAGAAATGTCTAGTTGTCTCCACTCCTATGTAAGAAAGAGGTATTACTATTTTCATCATTTTACTCACAATAGAAGAAAAAAGGCTAGTCCTTCCTCATCTCTTCATGGCAATAACTTGTGTTCTCATCATTCAGTTATCTAAAGAGACGGTGAGCAAAAATGACAATACCTTTTCTGTCGGAACCCCAATGCTCAAGTCCAAAGCGAACATAATCCTTCAAAATGTTCATCCGCTCCCCAGAAGTAATATCCCAGTGTCTCTGTTCCTTGATTTCAGTGAATAACCAAGGCTGGGAAAAAGATGACGAATATCACTGTCTAAACTTAGTATAATAAAACCATGAAAACGTGATGAACTTAACAATCAGGATAATGTCACAATATAAATATTGAAAGCAAAGAAAGAAAGAGATAACAACATGCTTGAGTTCCAAACCTTAAGTAATGCCCCTCGAGCAATCATGCACGTAGAAAGGCTGGGGCAGTCAGACTTGTGCTTGTTCCAGTCAACATAAGAAAAGATGTCCCCGTTCCCCAGGACTTGCAGAGAATCAGGGGCTCTTGCAGCACACTGATATATGTAGTCCCAATCAGCAAGCTTACTATAACGCTGCTGACGTGATCGGCCATGAATGGTAACTGCACTTGAGCCCCAGTAACCAATATCCGCAATCAGTGAGTCAATGCGATTTTTCCCTTCAAAATAAGCTGTCCTCACCTACCAATCAAATAATTCGGAAGATAAGTTTGAAAGAAAAATTCCCAACCAACCAAGGAAATGCAAAGAAGCTCGAGTACACAACATGACAAAGCATGTCAATTTGAGGCCAAAGAAACAAATCATAGACACAATTTCCAATTTGATTAGATGTTACCGACTGAGTTCATTGTTTTTAGTCCACACAGCCTGTTACGACTAGACTGATCATTCATATACCTTGACAGTGATGGGTGTGTCTACTGTGCCAGAAGCTGCTTCTATGATGGCTTTCATCCGCATTGGCTTAGTAAGAAGAGCTGATCCAGCACCCTTGTTAACAACTAGATCTATCGGGCAGCCCATGTTAATGTCAATGAAATCTACCGTACACTCTTGATCTATTAGTTCAACAGTCCGTGTTACAGTGTCTGGATATGCCCCACATATCTGTACACCAAATATATCCTCAGATGAATGTCGCCTCAGCAAAGCCCACTCCGAAGCTTGACCCTGTTCAACCATTGAGTGGTACATAAGAAACGAGATGTTTATACTTGGAAAATAGTGAATCCAGGGAGAAGAATGCTAATGCAACTGATGATGGTATCCAGGATGTTAATTCTGGTGTCAAGATCAATACATCCATCAAGGAACTATAACCGTGAAGTGTACATAGAGGCGTTCGATATAATCTGCACCACTAGTTTACAACATTACTCCTACCAAAGGGAAGATATAAAAACCAAGTAACATATTCAAAGCTCGAATTTGTCTAATATCTTCCTACTAATGAGATTCTTGAAATTGGAGATATAACAGCCCCAAAAACAATGCTTGTTAATTCAATTGAATAGCATGTGACACAAACCCAAAGGGAAAAAACTCCATGGTTGCATGAAAGCAAAAGTACATAATGTTCACTGATAAAAGCTCCAGAATGCTAGAGCAAAAACATGAGTGCATAGAACATACACATATGCATTTACATGTACCTGCAATAGATTTGTACCCATAGCCATTTCACCACATGTTACATCAGCTCCCAAGGATTTGCAAACCCTTCGGAAAGGTAGATTTCCAACAGTGGTCAGAGGGGCAAGGTACAGCTTATCCCTCAAATCAATGAGCTTTTTCTCACGTGGGTGCAATTTAAGACTTCTATCATTCTCTGTCATCATATTATCAGTTGAGGCTTCTTGTTCAGTTATCGTGTAGCTTTCTTTAGAGGCAATCTGCAGGATATGGGTTCCTGTTGCAACATAATCAATAAGTTCCAGATTCATGGAAGAACAAGAAGCTGTGCAATGAAGATTCACCGCGACACTAAGAAAAATGACCATTCTCGGTTTCGCTAGTGGAGTTCTCCTCTTCAAGAACATTTTTCTGCTTTTTGGGGGGTCGGAGTTCATCAGCAACTGTATCATTGATGGCGACGGCACTATCCTCTTCGGCAACTTCCCGTGGATGGTCCAAGTTACTAGTCATTTTGCTAGGAACCGCATCTTTACAGCCATTTCCATTAGCAACACTACAGTCCTTTGAAGCAGGTTGTTTACTTTCCACTTCTTCCAAAATCTTCTTCACTGACTTATTGTGAACCTGAAGAAAAGAAAACAAGATTGACATATTAACATCTAGTTCTTTTAAGCAAAGTACACAGTAAATCAGTAAAAATAGTAAACAAGATGGAGAAAGATTCAAGAGACACATGAATAGGACTTGATCTGAATCCATCCAAAGTGAGAATATAACTATAGGAGCCATAGTATACTTACCAGAAGGCCAAGAGTTTTAAGACGGGCTTCAGACTTAGGGAGTCGCATTTTGTTCTTCCACAGTAGTTTCTGTACATCTTTTTTCAGCGTATTCATTTCGAAACTTTGCTTGTGGGAACTCGGAGTAGAGGCAGAAGCAGCATCTTTGTGTGTACCAAAAAATCTACAGGCTAAACCAAAAGGGCATGGCTCCTCAACACCCAAGAAAGGGCACTCTCCCTCCAAATCAGTTGGTTTCTTCATTTAAAAGACCAAAGGATGAATGATAGATGTATCCAAAATAACCCTAAGATAACAGCGAATATATCGTCAGCAGATTACTAGTTAAGTACCTGAGTGTTAAATGCTTCCAGGTCATGGCTAAAGCGGCACTTATCTTGGTAACGACACGAACTTATGTCACCAGTTTTTGCAATCTCAGGACAGAGATTTAAAGCAGATTTCTTTTCCTAAACAATTAGAAACGGACATATCATGGTCAGAAACTAAATGCGAGGGAGCAAATAGATTTTTTAGAATCAGAGCACTTAGAACTGGAGTAGCATCAAAGGAATAGGCTAGCACAATCAGATTTCTCAGAGTAAGAAGCGACAATCCTACAAATCAGTATATCTACTTAAAACCACACAATTTATTCGAAAGTCATGGTTTCAGAACTCCTGCCTTCTCTACATAAGCAGGTGACAAAAGCTGTTAATCTTAACTATGTCCTTTCATCAATCATAATACTTGAATTTAGCAACAGAAGACAGATAAATATCCCATAAGTGCCAAAGACTCATTCTTCCCATTCCTTTCCAACTTCAAAAGAGCTTCCTCTCAGCATCACAATATTAACAAATGAATAAGAAAGCTTTGCAAACCATACTCCTAAGATCGTACCGACACAACACCAAACACAAAATCATCAACTAGCTCCTCAGCCTACTCATAAACACATCATCCTTATAGGTAAAGTTCAAGACAAACCCACGACTTTTAGCAATCATATGGGATCATTAACCATCAAAGTGGCTCTTACCAGTGCACAAGATCATGTTTTCATGTCTAGACCCTCATCTTACTCAGGACAAGATTCAGTTTTTACGCGATGGCTTTGAGATAAGTCGACAGCAACTACATAAGAGAGCAGGAGACCATGCGTTCTTACATTCAATTTACTTTACACAACGAGACAAAAGCGAATCAATGTCCCGAGCAAGTGCTCGAGATGTTTGAACAGTGAACTGAGCATTTCTCGAGGCAAAGACACGTACACGCTCAAAGACATCGCGAGGAGAGAGAGAGGAGAGACCTGCTGGCGTTCGCGCTTCAGCTGGCGTTTCGACTTCTTCTCCTTGACCAGCCCCGACTGCGGAGCGCCCCCTCTGGCCTCCGGGGCGGCGTTGCTCTGGCCGGAGGAGTAGGGCCTGACCGGAGGAGGCCGGAGGAACTCGCCCTTCACCGGAGCTATGGCTTTGGCGATGAGCTCTTCCGGCGTTCGATGGGCTCCGCTCGCGTTCGACGAGGGGGCGTCCCCAGCCGTGTCCGGCGCAGGGAGTTCGCCGTGCTCCGCCGTGGGCTCGGCCATGGGCGGCGAGCTTCAGTGAGGAGCCTCGTGTGCTCGGTTCAGTGTTGTCGGAGTTCGGCGTAGGGTTTTGTAGGTAGTAGAAGTAACTGCCCCCCAACCAACAACGTTACGGCTGGTTTTGCATATATACCACATATTACGAAAAACAATTGTAAGTTTTCAATATATCGATTGTACATGATTCGGACTAGGGTTGTGCAATGGCGAACTAAACCGAACCGGTCATGGAAACAAGTGTGGTTTCCGTTCTAAAAATTTGGAGCCGGTATTGTGTGGATAGGTGTAGAGTTCTGGGTGTTGAACCCACCCATCTAGCTAGGAACCGATTAAAATCTGTTTTATGGAGTCGGAAAAAGATGATATATCTTTTTTAAATGAACTTAACTTCTTTATCGCTTTATATTTCTATTTGTTTTGTATTGATATTATTGTTCATACTATTTTGCTGTAACTGCTATTTATCTTGGTTTTTTTTTTAAATGAGCAAAGGAAAAAAGAAACCGGTTCTCGGGTAGACCTTGGAACTGGACCAGACGATAGAGTGGGTTTTAAGGCAAACAGAGTAGATTCTAGATGCCAAAAATTGAGAAACGTGTTCCAAGTCTGGAAACAATCCATTTTGAAACCGATCCCCCCTAGTACAAACAAGAAAATGCATTGAAAACGACAATATTTGTTTATTTCGCTGTTCAACAAGATCTGTAAAACTTTTAACTTTGCTTATTATAAAAGTAAACTCTCATTTTAAATTCTCCGCTTCAATTTATTTTTCTCATCAAAAAACATTTTCACAAGCTAAACTTGTAATATCATAAACACGGGATAAGTACACTAGGAGTGCCATAACTTTCGTATGGCGTTCACTTGAGTGCCATAACTTTTTTTTCGCTCACTTGAATGATATAAATTTGAAAAAACGATCATTAAGTGCCATCAGCGATTTGCCTCGCCGGAAAATTCGACGTGGATGTTAGTCGTTTTATATGGTATCGCCGGCGCTGACGTAAATATTTAATAAAAAATTTCAAAAAGAAAAATTTCACATCGGAATGGAAAATTAATAAAAAAAATTCACATAAGACGATTCGCTGGGAATGGCATTCAAATGATCGATTTTACTCCGATGTGGTACTCAAGTGAGCCCATACGAAAGTTATGACACTCCTGTTGTCCTTATTCTAAACATTTTTATTTATAAGTGAAAAGGTTGGGGAATGCCAATCAATGCAGTTATCCCTCTGAATTTATCATAAGGTTCCCACGTAGACAAATTGCCTTGCTTTAATTAATTATTTATAAGACATATTAATAGAAGTGGGTACTATATATATAAAACTAGGTATTTCTCATGAATGAGGCCTATTGCTTATAAAATCCAAAATATTTTAATTTAACTTTTAACAAAGATCAAAATTAAAATATCATCAAAAAAATTATAATGTGCTAATACATAAGTAGTATTGAGGGACAAAATTTAGTAACCATTAATTAGACTTGCCAAATGAGTCATAGACCCATTTATTAACCCATATATGATGGGTTGAGTTGTTATATGAGTTATTTATATTAAATAAATGAGTCATAAATGGGTAAGCATGGTTCCAGAGTAGAACCTGGAACCTAAGAACCGTGGGAACCTATTTGGTTCCAGGTTCTAAGATATGCAGGGTAGGTTCCACGTTCCAAAAATTAGGAAATTTATTTTGACGGGTAGGTTCTAGGTTCTAGGTAGGTGCTTGGTACCTGTAACCTGTAATAAGTTTGTGTTTTTCTTTGTCTGTATCTTTGTGTGATCCTGCGATATTTCATGGCGTTCGATGATAAGTGTATAATCTGTAATCACTAATCTGCGGTTCCATTTTATGATCGAGACTTTTACTTTGTTAATGTTTTATATTATTCGTGTGTCTAACTATAAGTTGTGGTAAGTAGATTGTAGTAGCAAATGATGGTTATTAAAGATGATGATTCACTGCAATCGTTCAATTAATAATATAGGTGGAACATGAGTAGACCTTAGAACTGACCCTAGAACCTGTGACAGGTAGGTTCCAGGTTCCAAGATATGCAGGGTAGGTTCCAGGTTCCAAAAAATGAAGAACCTGTTCCAACCGATAGGTTTTCGGTTTCAGGTGGAACTTGTACGGAACATGGAACCGCTCACCCCTAATTATATGGGTGTTAAATTGGTTCACAACTTATTTAGACCAATCTCACCTCCTATGACTCTCTCCTTCATTCTCTCTAAATCTTACTTGATCTCACGCTTGCTCACTCCGCGTTCTAACCTCAATTTGGATATAAGTTTTCCTACATTGGATTAAACATTATTGGAAATATGGTTTGATATCATCGAAGATATGAATCGATTCCAATTGAGATACCAATTTTGATTCTAAACTGATTGATTTAATTAATCCGTGATTGATGTGTACAAGGTAGGAAAATGTAATCTTGAATATCTTTTCCTATTTTTCACCTTGCTTTCTAGCATTATAAATAGAGCAATGTACATGTACACAAGATATAGCAATACAATTACATTCTTCTCCAATATCCTTTCAATTCCTTTCATGGTATCAGAGTAGTCCATTTAGGTCTAGCTTCTGCAATCCTAGAATTGCCTTCGGTTTATTTTCTGACTTCTTGTTGCAATCTCAATCCTACAAAACAAGCTAGAACACTGAGTAGGAATTCAAAATTTTTTGTTGATACCAGCAATCCTTTAATGGAAGAAATCACCAACTCACCAAAACACCAAGCCTCATACTCAGTTGATCCAAATGAAGAAGAACCGTCTACTATTCAACAATCTGCCGGATCTGCTCCTACTCCAGTTCATATTCCCGGCCTAATCCAGTGGCCAACAGTTCATTGGTATCCAGTTCAAAATCAATGAGCCACCGGACCGAGTCAGACATCTACCCAACATAGCCCACAAGGAGAGGATAGCAATCCAGGCCTTGGAACCAACCCGGATGGAGGTGGGTCGGTTCCCCTTCAGCATGGAACCAACCTGAATGGAGGACCGGGTTGGACAACTTTGGGTTATGCATCCGGATCCATTCCACCGGGTCTAGGGACGAATCCCTACCCGGCTCTCCAACCCGAAATCCTACCCTATGCGTTTCCCGTCAGTGGCGGCTGTCTCAAACCTGGCGACCCACTCTACACGTTGCCAGCCGACAGACCTAAGCTGCGGCTCATCAACCTACAACTTGCCGGACCGCACAACTACAATGCTTGGGCTCGAGACTTCCGACGAGCATTTGTAACAAAAGAAGGATGGCTTTCTCGACGAAGTTGTTCCTTTTTCGACCGACGAACGTCTCCGGCGGCAATGGCAGAAGTGTAACCAGTTGGTTCTCACTTGGATTGGAAATTGTCTCAACCTCGACGTCGCAGCCGAACTCCCACCACCTGAGGACTCGAAGAAAATGTGGTAAAATATCCGCGAGATGTATGGGCGGCTCGATCGAGCGAAACTGTTCACAATCACTCAAGCCTTGTCGGAATTGAAGCAAGGGAACCTCTCTATTACCGCTTGCTTCAACCGGCTTTCGACTATATGGAATGAGCTCGAGGCGGCCAAGGAACAGCTCGAAGGACCCGAGAGGACGCTCCGACAGTACCGAACGATGAAGAAAGGGAAAAAGTAACTCATTTTTTGCTAATCTTGAATGAGATGTACTCACCTTTTCGGTCACAAATCTTGGCGATGGAGCCAATGCCGACGCTTAGCCGGATTTACCAGCTGGTCGTCCAAGAGGAAAGTCAGCGGCTAGCCACTGCTGAGCATGTGAGATTTACCAGCTCCGGCCAAATCGCTACACGGCGTCCATAGAGGGCTCGAGAGCGTTGAGCATCCACGAGTAGTGGCTGCAAGGACCGACGGAGATGGAAACCCTAAAGGGTTTCGAATAGACGGCTGTGATCAGAAAGGATCAGACGGCTCTTATTCTTTCATCCATCTGCCCCGATCCAACGGCCCTTATCATGCCACGTCGGCACCAGCATATAGGCCATCTAACGGCCCACGAAATTCCACGTGGACATAGAAATCTAATGGGAAAAATTCAAAAACCAAAGGTAAATATTGTGAATATTGCAAACGTCCACGTCATAACATTGATACATGCTGGAAGCTACATGGAAAGCTGAACGATAAAGACAAAAAGGACAAAGAATTTTCTGCTTACCAAGTTTCTGCGTAAAGGACTGATGGGGCATTCCAAACAATTATCCAAGATCAGTACCAAAATATTATGGAGGCCCTGAGTCGATTAACAACTAGTAACAAGACCGGAAGTTTTTCGGGTACTTTTCTTTGCAGGATGAATTCAATATCAGTTGATGCATGAATAATTGATTCAGATGCCAGTGACCACATAATTTGCAATGAGAAATTATTTTCCGATGTTCAAAAGAAACCATACTCTTCCATGCCAGTACGTCTTCCAAATGGGAACATCACTTACGTCACCAAAATTGGCATTGTTCATCTCAGTTCAAATATTATCCTCAGAAATGTCCTATATATTCCTGATTTTGAATTCAATCTCTTATCCGTTTCAAAAGGTTGCAAGGATAATCTTGTCGTCCCATATTCAATTCCAAAAATTGCTTCTTTCATGGACTGGCAGATTGATGGGCTTGGGTAGTGTTGCACAAGGGCTATATATTTTGACCAGTTTCACAAAAGATTTTGAGTTATTAAGTAAAAGCATTTACTGTAATGCAATTGCTAGTAATAAAAATTTTATTTCTCATTAGCGCTTGGGTCATAGTGTGCGTTTTCCTCATCCCAAATGTCCAATCTGTCCTTTGGCAAGACAATCTCGGGCACAATTCCCAATTAGCACATCTCGAGCCGCTAGTGCCTTCTCATTACTTCATATGGATATCTAGGGTCTTTACCATACCCCTCATCGTGACGGCTCACGATTTTTCCTCACCATTGTTGATGATTATAATCGAGCTACTTGGGTTTTCCTTATGCAATCCAAGAGTCAAACCTTTTCTCATCTGTCGAATTTCATCTGTCTAGTCAAAAATCAATTCCGCAAATCTGCCCAACGAATTCGTATAGACAATGAACGCGAGTTCTTTACTGCTAAATGCATGTCTTTCCTATCCTCCAAAGGAATACTCCATGAAAGCTCTTGCACATACACTTTTCAACAAAATGGGATTGTTGAGCGCAAACATCGACATCTCTTGGAAGTAGCTCGAGCTCTCAAATAACAAGCTTCGAGCCCTAAAATTTTGTGGGAAGATTGTGTGGTCACGGTAGCCTATTTGATTAATTGCATGCCAACTCGAATTCTTGATGGGCGAACTCCTTTTGAGTTGCTTTATAGAAAACAACCAAGGATTGATCATCTTAGAGTGGTTGGCTATTTATGCTATGCAACAACTGTGGGCCCTCGAGATAAAATGGAACCTCATGCCAAACGGTGTATTTTAATGTGATATCCTTCTTTGCAGAAAGGTTATCGTGTTATGGAGATTTCTACGGGGCAATTCTTTGTAAGCAGAGTCGTTGTCTTTCATGAAGACATTTTTCCATTTGAAGAAATTACATCTTCGTCACAATCCTCTACCTCGGCATCCGACCATCATTATTTTTTGTCAGAAGAAGACTTATCTGTGGGTTCTCAATATATAATGATTGCGCTTAAGCCACACGTACCAATCATGACGGAATCCTTAAACCAAGGGGTTGAATTGCTGGTCTCATCATATGAGGATATCCACTCACTTAATCCATCGGCGACTTCTCCACCGTGGATTCATCATGAGTCGTCTTCTCCAACTCCTGAACAGACTAGAACTATACAACCTCGACGTTTTGGGCGTCATACTCGTCCTCCCACACAGACTAAAGACTACGTATGTCCAACATTGAATTCTCTAGGTACACAATACCCTGTGTCCTCATATGTTTCATTTAGTCGACTATCACCAGAACATATGTGTTGTATTAGTCGCATTTCCAAAGAACAGGAACCATCTTCTTACAATGAAGCGGTATGTGACCCCCAATGGCAAAATGCAATGGAGGCTAAACTAAATGACCTCATGGAAAGCCATACTTGGGATATTGTTCAATTGCCACCACATCGAAATGCGATTGGCTACAAATGAGTATATAAGATTAAATTCAAGGCAGATGGCTCAGTTGAACAATACAAGGCTCGATTAGTTGCGAAGGGATTCACGCAACGGGAATGTTTTGACTGTCATGAAACTTTTTCTCTAGTGGCTAAAGAAGTTGCTGTTCGCTCTTTCTTATCCATTGCTGCTTTTCGCAATTGGTCATTACATCAGATGGATGTTCATAATGCTTTTCTACATTGAGATCTAGATGAAGAGATCTATATGGAGCTTCCACAGGGTTTAACGCAAACAGGAGGAGTCTCGAGTATGTCATCTACGTAAATCCCTATATGGGCTTACATAGGCTTCTAGGCAATGGTACGCCAAATTTACTACGGCACTAACCAATGCGGGATTCCATCACTCCAAACATGACTATGCTTTATTCACATGGAATGAATGTACTTCATCAATTTATTTATTGATATATGTTGATGATATACTCATCATGGGGAATAATGAGTCTGCTATGGCAAGTTTCAAAAAATATCTTCACTCTACTTTCCACATTAAGGATTTGGGGCCTCTCAAATATTTCCTTGGGATTGAAATAGCTCGATATGACAAAAGAATTTGCCTCAGTCAGCGTAAATTCGTTTTGGAAATTGTTTTAGAAGTAGGATTATCATGATGTAAACCGGCTGTTATACCGATTGAACATAATATGCAGCTGACAACACGTGAATATGATATGAGCTCATCTTCATCTGTCGAAGATCCATTACTTGAAGATCCATCGGGATATCAATGGCTTGTTGGAAAATTAATATATCTCACCATGACGAGACCTGATTTATCTTATGCAGTACAAATACTAAGCCAATTCATCCATAATCCAAAACAATCTCAAATGAACGCAACACTGAAAGTTGTAAAGTATTTCAAGGGATGCCCAGGACTTGGTATTTTTCTGTCTCGTGATTGTAACATGAAGATGACAGCTTACTGTGATATAGATTATGCTACTTGTCCAATGACCAGAAGATCCATCACTAGTTTCTGTATCAAGTTGGGAAGATCACTCATTTTATGGAAAACGAAGAAGCATTTGATTGTCTCATTATTGTTAGCCGAATCAAATTATCGAGCCATGTTGAAAACTACTTGCGAAATGGTTAGGTTACGAGGTCAACTCTCAGACCTTGGAGTACAAATTGATGGACCCAGTAAATTGTTTTGCGATAATGATGCCGCACTAAAATTAGCGGCAAATCCAATTTTTCATGAAAGGACTAAACATATAGAAGTTGATTGTCATTTCACTCGAGACAAGATACGAGAAGGAATTATCACGACAAGAGGAATTGGAACTACAGAGCAACCTGCAGACGTTCTTACCAAACCATTATGTCAAAGATAACATGCATACCTATTGAGCAAGCTAGGCGTCCTCGACATATACAGGCCACCAGCTTGAAGGGGAGTATTAGAAATATGGTTTGACATCATCAAAGATATGAATCGATTCCAATTGAGATACCAATTCTGATTCTGAACTGATTGATTCAGTCAATCTGTGATTGATGTGTACAAGATAGGAAAATGTAATCTTGAACATTTTTTTCTATTGTTCACCTTGCTTTCTAGCATTATAAATAGAGCAATGTACATGTACACAAGATATAGTAATACAATTACATTCTTCTCCAATATCCTTTCAATTCATTTCAAACATTAAAGTGTTTTAGCAATATGGGTTGGGTCAGGATGTGTTGGGTATGAGTTGGGTCAAGTGAGAGTCATTACATTTGTATTGCATGGCAATAGATCAATTTGAGTCGTACTATTTTCAATCTGACCTATATATTTGATGGGTTTATCGTTAACATCATTTTTCCGATTTTTATTATAATAACATAATTATCTATCTCCCTAGTCTCTTAAAAAACGGGTTATTGTTACAAAACCCTAAACTGGTACACATGTGACAATTTTATCCCAAACTAATTTTTTAACCACAAAAAATCCCAAATTGGTACACCTATGACAATTTCACCATGCGTTGATTTTCGTTTAATTTTACTATTAAATTGCTTTGTTAAATGACACCTGGTAGTCATATACTAGTTTTGGATTTTGCCCTCTCTTTATCACAGGTATACCAGTTTGTGATTTTTTTTGCATTAATATAATTTAACTGAAATTAATGGAGGGTAAATTTGTCACAAATGTACCAGTTTTGGGGTTTTTTGTGATAAAAAAAATAGTTTGTGGTAAATTATCACATGTGTACTAATTTGATTTTTTTGGTGATTAAAAAATTAATTTAGAGTAAATTTGTCAAGTTTAGAGTTTTTGGTAGTATTAATTAAAAAAAAAAAAGGCTGCAATTGTCCGTTAGGCTTCTCCTTCGGGTAACTCGGTTCCACTTACCAAGCAAAAAGGGGCAAAAAAAGCACGAACCGGTCGCGGGCACTCCTTCCCTGTCCAGCGAGCTGTGAATTACAGACACGTCACGCTTGGTATCACTTTTCTTGAACGTGTCGCACTCCCGCGATTCCATCGCTTGCTCACGGTTCCCACCCCCGTGTATAAGCTCCTGCAACCATCCTCCACCTTCTTCTTCATTCTCTCCGCAGTTCAAGAAAATGGTCGCCTGAACCCCGGGTTCTTCTGGGCATCGAACGAAACGAATCCTTCTGGTTTTGATAAGGAAAACCGGAAGACGGCGAGAAAAGATGGAGTTTGGACTGGTCGGGCTTCTGCGAGCGGCATGGGTTGCTGGGATCTTGCCTTTGTTGGTCGCTTCCTTGCCTTTTCCGAGACTCGGTTGGCTTCACGAAGCCGTGATGGGGCTCGCCAAGAGGGGCAAGATCATGCAGTCCTCTTTGTGTGTAAGTAATGGGGACGCTTCCTGTTGCTTCCTTCGCGTTTTCCTTTGTTTCTCTTTTGCCCTTCGGGGGTCTGTTTGGAATGCACGGTTTCGTGGGAGTTCAGTTCAAGTATTTGATTTGAATTCTTGCTTGAGTTGTGCTTGGAAGCTATTTTCAGTCAGACTTGGATTCTTTCATCCTAGACTTGGTGTACCGAGAAAATCATGTTGGCTGTAATAAGGGAGGGAGGGTAACGAATATGTAGTTAGTACCAGTGCTTCTGGTAAACGTGGCCGTGGGTGCTCCCATGAGTTTGTCGGAGTCGAGAAAATTATGAGAGAGAGAGAGAGAGAGAGAGAGAGAGAGAGAGAGAGAGAGAGAGAGAGAGAGAAATCTAGTTAGTATCAGTGGCTTCTGGTAAATGTGGCCGTTGGGGCTTCCGGGAGCTTACACGAGTTTTCATCTTGTTGGTTGTTTGATGGGCTTAGAAGGAAATTGTGACATTTCTTTCTTTTTCGAGATCAGTAAAAGGCGAATGTGGGTTTAATAGGGCATCAAGAAATAACATGATTAACTTGAGGAGCTAGAGGATTTATGAACAGAAAGTACATGGGTTTCATCTCGAGGATTTATTTCCGGTTTTTATGAGATAGACATTGCAAATTGATATTTCTTGTCCGACTTTATTAGATACCTCAGTGGAAACGACCTAATTACTTGAGTACTCAAGGTTGGATGCAAATGGTCTATTTAGCAGTTGCTTCTTCTCTTCTTTCCCTTTTTATTTTTGGCACCGATTCAAAACCTCCAGATTCAATTACTTGTATTGGTACTGTATATGGAAGACGTCCTTTCACTGGTGAAAGAAGTTGGTTAACCTTCTGTTTCTTAACTTTCATGATGCACCAGTACTAATTTGAGAAGATAGTGGTGAAAAGTGCATCGATCGCAATCCAACAGCTTAACTTGTGAACTTTTTACAGCCCACTGAAAGAGAGATGTATGCAAATTCCTTTTTTTCCAGTTTCCTTGACAAGATAATTATGTAAACAACTTTGATTTTAATTAAGCCTTTTCTCTTTCTGGAATTCAATTACTATTGTTATTACATCACTAGCCCAAGTTGCTTTGGTTTGGTTATTATCTTTTCTTTGCGCTAAGGTTCTTCGTTTGTGATGAATTGACATGCTGTCTGGCTTTTCTGCTGAAATGAATGTTGTGTACACCTTAGTGGGCTCAAGAGTTCTTGCCTTAAGCTGTGCTGCCTTTTTAATGTAAGTTCCAAAGAAATAAACATCAGATGTCCTGTTCAATTTGCATGCTTAGTAGTCTGCAATTTTTCTTGCGGAACATGGAACTCTTCCCTAGTGAGTATTAAATATTCAATTTTGTGTGTTAATTGCAGATATTTACTGTCCCTCAAAGGTTCTTCACTCATTTTTACGCGCTAGCTGTCATATGGACAGGGCTTCTGCTTGCTGCAACATGGCTATACGCATATGAAATGGCACCTATTGCCTCAGAGCCCTTTCTTTATTCCTCTATTGCCGGCCACTTGACAGGTGGCTCGCATCTTTTTACATTGCATAGATATCGTTCAACTCCGCTAAAGCATAGATACATGGTTTGGAAGTCTGTGTTTCTGCTTCTGTTAATGGAGATCCAAGTTTTGAGGCGCCTCTATGAGAACATATATGTTTTTAACTACAGCCCATCAGCTCAGATGCACATATTTGCCTATCTAACTGGACTTTTGTAAGTTTTCTAATAACTTTCAAGCATGCCATTGCCTTCCTTTTAATAGTGCATTTTGCTGGGCCAGAGAACATTCACACTTTAGTTCAAGACTTATAGATGACTCTGTAAGCATTTATGACAATATATATGTCTTCATTGTAATTGTTTGTTGCATATGATTTGATGTATGGGAAATCAGTGTTGCTACTGAAGCTACAGTGGTATCTTTGATCTAGTGGGCTTGTCTACGGTGTTTTGTTTTGTTCATTGCATGTGTATTGCCTGTTAATGAGAAGTTCGTTCACCATGATATGGTTATTGAAGCTGATGTTCCATCTGTTATGGATTGAAGGCATGGTAGTTTAGTTTTTTGTGGATGCTGTCATGTACACTGTGAAACATCTCATGTTTGGGCTGGGCCTAACGTCCTGGTGCTAGTGTGTTCCAATATTTGAACTATTACATACGTTCTCTTTATCAGTTCTCATGTGGTGTCTTGCTGGTAAGAAGCTGGTGACCTGCTAGTCAGGACCCCTGTATCTTCTGGAGTAGTTACTTATATCTGAAGTTCCTTGGTTTTATTGAACCACAAGTATAAGTTTATGCTTAACTGGATGTGTTTCCGGTATGCCATGAATGAGTAGTCTTCTTTGTGAGATTCACGGTCAGGCACTACTGTTGATCACCTAGGTGCAGGTGGTTTATCATTACAATGCCTTGATGTGATTTATTTTTGTGCAAATATGTTTGGCTTTCAATTCTATTATGTGACATGCTTCTATCTCTTCTCATTGATGATTTCTTTTCTTCACTGTGGCAAGTTTCTACACCACTGCGCCATTGTCACTTTGCAGCAATTTTGCAGCGGAAGTATATGAATTTTCAGCCAATCGAGTGTCTGAGTTCATTGTTAGAGGCAAAGATCAGATGGCCTCCAGCGAATTTGATTTGTTGGAGTTTGTCAATCCTCTTATGAAGCTTGGATGGCGTCACTGGATTGGTGCTATTATCTTTTTCTGGGGTTGGATTCATCAGCATCAGTGTCATAGAATCCTTGTATGTGTAGCTCTACCATTAATGGGATTAGTTTCTCATTGACACTATCTTATCTCTGAACACTTAGGTGCATTTGAAGAGCTTCTAGGATGTGATTAACCTGCACGATATCTTTTCTTAATCAAAATTTTCATATTTTCTGCATTGTTTAATTATGTGATATTCATCATACTTAACCTAGAAAGGGAGAATAACGTTTTAAAGGATCTCTCTCTTTGACTATCTCACTTATTTTACTAGATGATGAGAGGAATGCCTCAACAAGCATCGATAAGACGGATGTTCTCATATTAATATGTTGCTCTTGACTGTCCATTTTTCCTGATATTCTTAGGGCTCACTACGTGAACGCAGAGAAGAAAGTCATGAATATGTAGTCCCTCATGGCAATTGGTTTGAACGTGTGTCGTGTCCTCACTATTTGGCTGAGATAGTAACTCTCTCTCTCTCTCTCTCTCTCTCTCTCTCTCTCTCTCTCTCTCTCTCTGTGGTGTTCCAGTCCCTGAATTTGACCTAGGAGATTGAGAAGAAAAACTTAAAAAATTCTGGTTTTGACTAGCTTTGCTTTTTTATGGTTCTAACTGCCACTTCTGATGATGAAAGGTTATATATGCGGGACTAGTGGTTGCAAGTGGAGGATCAGACCTGACAATCTGGTTGCTGTTTGGTTTTGTGGTATGCGCTTTTCGTCCTATCATATATAAGAATATCATCCTGCACTTGCAGCTTCTTTTGTTATAATTTTCCATCTGAGTAGAAGGGTTGGTTATTTGTGATGGCAGGTGGCGAATTTGGTCTTCGTGGCAGCAGAAACACATAGGTGGTATCATAGTAAATTCGACAACTATCCATGGGACCGCTTTGCTATCATCCCATTAATTTACTAATGTGTGTGGCCTATATACAAGTTTGTACAGAAGAGGCTGCAAATTGTTAATAGGTGAGTTAGGATCATAGGTTTCTTAATCCCAGCTGTTGTTTAATCTGGGTGTTTGTTGTATATGACCGTAGGACGAGTTACTCCCATGCAGTTATAAGAATGACCAAGTTGATATAAAGATGGAAGACTGATCTTTTTTTTTTCCAATTGGTTTGCTAGCAAAAAAGAGTGAAAGGCATGAGAAGCTCTTGCATTATCCTGACTAGGCATACTTATTGCTGCTAATTAACATTCTCACTGGATCAAAATTGGCGGAATGTATGACGAATACATAGAGTTGTTCAACCCACCAGAGGATAGAAGTTTTTTCTCTTCATTAAGAACTCTCAGTTTCATTGGTGGACTTTTTGACCAAATAATATCAACTGGACAAGCCTCCCAGTGGAAGGTGAAAAGGGGAAATTACACAGTTTAAATTCTTAAACATCTTACATTGACTACCTGTCTTTTAAGTCAGATGTAAGTAATGTCTAGTAATCGGTTTGTCTCGATGAATTATCATTAGGCATTGCTTTCCTCTAGTTTGCTTTTATAGTGTTTGTCTTATAGAAAGTAAATAATGTTTCTGTCGTAGATTTTTTCTTTGTTTTTCTTTTGTGCATTCTCCATTAAAATGGAATGAAGAGTTTAACTTTATGTTAAACCAAAATCTGCACATAGCTGGTACTTCGTATTCACTGTTTTAACTATGAGTTGGTTTAGTAAAATCTGGATGTTCCATGGGAAGCGAGATTGTAATTTTCCCTTGAAAGTTATAGATGTTAGTTTTTCTCATGATCAGATTTATGATTTCTTAGAGTTTTTAGCAGCGGTCTTTTGATGGGTGCTATGCTTGGTGTCTCAATCAGTCTCAACCATTGATGCACGTGAATGAGGTATAGTTGAGATTGATTAAAAATCCAAGGAAAGCACATCGCAAGGCAGAGGATCCATGCGCGCGGTTTTCCATTGGATCACAAAAAGTTCAGGTAAGTAGGAGACAATAACTTTGAGATGCATGGAAGAGTAAGGAGTTTGCATATTGTGCACCGTTGTCTTTCCGTGCACATTTTCTTGATAAGAATAGAAGACTCTGTTATTCCTTATCTTTTGCTGAGACCAGTTGAAGTGAATAATATTTCAGCCCAACATTGTAGAACTTCTAGAGGCACTCTGTTACAAAATGCAGCAGATGTCCAATTGTTCCCAAGTTTTTTCCTTGCTCTCTTTCCAAACAGGCTCGAAACTCATGCATATATATCAACACCCCAGTACTTTGCAGGTTGATTTGTCCGGTAGTTCTGGTCCAAGCTCCTTATCAGGTCCATGTCTTCTTTTTCCAACTCAAAATCGAAAACTTGAAGTTCTCCTCCAACCTCTTGGGTTTCGATGTCTTTGGGATGACCACTGTGTTACGTTGAATGCTTCACCATAGCACGATCTGAGCTACCGTCTTCCTATACTTTTTTGCCAGACCCTAAAGCCAAGGAAACAAACAGAAAAGATCAAGGGTACTGGTTAGTATTGGTTCACATGTCCACGCATTTTCTTTTTTGGCTAGGCCAATGATATGTCCTCTCTTGCTAAGATTGCAACTGCGTGGTGTTACTGTGGATTTTCTATCCTTCACAGGGCTTCCATGGTGTTTCAACATATTTTAATTGTCGAGGCATACTTTATTTACATGTATCAACAGTTGAGAAAATTAAGCAAGACGCCAACGAGAGCACCATATAGGGTAAAGGATTTTATCCACACTTTCACATTTCCCTCTGTCAAAAAGTTTGAATTATTGGGGAGTGTCGGTTGGTCGCTAACCCAATGGACCAATGATACAACATCGATCTAGTTACCTTTAGAATCGAGTTGTCCAAACACGAGACCGACCCGAACATAATGGTGTTGGCCGTGGCGCCTCCTAGGGGCGTGTGCGCTGTGACGCAGACACTGTGCCTCTGGCAGAAGTTGACGAGGGAATCGCGTTGGAAGTAGGGGTGCAACTCGATTTGGTTCACAGCAGGCCTTATCTTGGAGTATGCCAAACATGCCCTTGTCTGGAGGAGGCTGTAGTTGCTGGAAAAGGAGTAGAAAGAAAACGAATCATCGCTTTTACCGTTTTCTGCGATTTTAAGATAGAGTGCAAAAGTGAGTTTCTTGAGAACAAATAGTTCATTGCTGTACTACCCCTTTCATGTTTTTGCTGGGAAAAAAGAAAACATCAATACAGGAATTGCACATAATGTTCGAACAGGCATACAGGCATACTTCGTAAAGACAGGAGAGCGAACCTGATGCCGATGCTGCGAACTAAGCCCATGGAAACTAAATCCACCATGCCGCGCCAGGCCGCTTCCAAGGTTATGGTGGTGTTGATGTCCAGCACTCCGTTCTCGTCCAACACGCTCGTGCACGCTCCAATGCCTTACATGATAAACTCAAATGTCAAAATTTACTAACGTTTGCCCTGAATCAATGAATAGTATTGGGGACCGAGGCGCTTTAGGGACTTAAGCCTCAAAATCACAACTTCTCTGTTTTTTGGCACCCATGTGACCACTCGGAGCCACTCCTGTGGGGGACAGTGCAGTGGATTTCTATCAGGTTCGAACAGTAGAAGCATAACTTTAGGTGGGACCAATAGATGTGTCGAGAGAGAGAGTGGCTAAGAGGTTGTCACATTTTTGGTTTCTTATGTGCACTTGTGACTTGCATAGCAATGGAGGTTTTCGTTGTAAGTGAAGCTTCATGTTGTCGGCAACCCCGGGCCTCACAATCTGAAAATCTAAAGCAATTTGAAAGGTGGTCCTTTTTATGGTCTGTCGATTGTGAGTTCGTTTTGTCGTAATTCCTATACGGAGTGTCATATACTCCACAAGCGCTCTGAATATTCCGATAAACGGCCATTCATGATGTATGCCGCCTTGCACGGAATCATGAAAAATATATTAGGTTGGATGAGTTGCAATGGGAATCGATCCCTCCAGAGTGCACAGAATAAATCGGGCTGACTTGGAGATGAAGTCTAACCTAAGGGAAGACACTAGATTTTACTGGGTGCCTTTGTTTCCTGTAAAAGTAATGATTTGGAAAAACATTTTATTGAAAATGATACATTGTATCACTTACAAAGATGCAAGAATAAAAAAACATTTTCACCATCAACGAGAATGTTTACACAGATTATTGTTGATAACGATAATATCTCCGGCTGACTAATTTTTCTAAGCGTACAGACAACTATATTTATAAAGATAATTTCCAAATCGCTTCATTTTCCATCAAGCAATTCCCTCTTCCTGACTCAATAGTCTAGTGACAGCGAGTTTAACAAAATTGCAGCTTCGTATAATGCAATGACAAGAGGGATAACTTAAATAAGGCAATTGGGGAAAAGTACCAGCATGCTTGGTGGCCACAGGGAAGTGAACCAGGTAGAGATCCAAGTAGTCCAGCTGAAGCTTCTTTAAACTGTCTTTGCATGCCTCAATCACATGCCCGTGGTCCGAGTTCCACAACTGCAATTGTTAGCTTTTCTCCTATCAGTACATAGCTAGATTCATCATTTTCTCCAAACCAATATAGAGTATGCACACATCTTAAGCTAGACACATATGACAATCCCCCGACACGATAACCGTATCGAAATTATGAACCTTTGTGGCTATGAAAATTTCCTCCCTCCTGACTAGCCCGGAGCGAAACGCTTCGGGCAATGCTTCTCCAACTTCTACTTCGTTCTTGTACTTGGCTGCAAAAAATTAAAAAAACAGAGAAAATTAATTTCTTTAGTTCATGAAAGTTTTCTTGATATCTCAAGTTTAACATGTGGATTCATGAACATGTTTTTTCCTTAGAAGTCAAATGCTTCCTTATTCCAATGAATCTATACTAAAGATTAGAAATCAAAAAGGAAAAGAGTAAAGTAAGTAGATTTGGCTCATTGAATCAGACTATATCCACATGCAATATCAGACTTCTTGTGTACTGTTTTTTTCTTATAATCCTTTCCTTTTCAGACTTCAAGGAATTCATGTGCAATTTTGTTTGGTTCATGTCTTTTCACTGGATTTCCCGTACAATAATGTACTTGTTTGAGCATTATTAACTCCTTATGCAACCACTTTACATGGGGTGGAACAATAGATGATTGGAGTTCTGGTCACTTTCAGTCTCTTTCTTAAATCTTGCAAGTCGAGAGAGAGAGAGAGAGAGAGAGAGAGAGAGAGAGAGAGAGAGAGAGAGAGAGAGAGAGAGAGAGAGAGAGAGAGAGAGAGATTCTCTCTATTGAATTCCATGAGAGTGTGCTTCAAATGAAATGCATTATTCATTAAGGAAAAGCTTCTTGATTCTCCTGCAAACGCAAAGCATCAGTTACCAAAACACACGCACACAGAGAAACAGAGACAATATGTAGTACCTGCACAGTCGAAATGGCGATAGCAAATCTTGATGGCATGAAAGAGGAGATCTTTAAGGTCCTTGCCTTCCATGCGGAAGAGGCCGAGACCGACTGTCGGCATGGTGAAGCCATTGTTCAGGGTAATCTCCTTTGAGAAATCACAGCTGGGGGCCACTGGCATTGAGAAGCGATTGCTGAGAGTGGGTGCCATTTTCTCTCTTCTAGCTTCAACCCCACTCTTCAGCTACCAGGAAGGCTTCTCTCTTATTTGCAGTTGCAGATGGCTAAAACTACCTCTACATATATATAAGCACGATGGAACTGTATAAGCCCCACTCGGCAAAGAAAGTACTGATACAGGTATCGTTTTCGACTTGAGTGACATGTTGACATGGTGTCACTTAACCAATCCAAGTGTTATTGTTTGTAAAGCATTTTTAAGATCATCAAATGTAAAAATACTTACTTGGCCATTCAATTCTATTTTAGAGCACAACTCTGGTTGATTAAGTACCAGAATTTATGATCCTATATTGGTGTAGTCTCTATTCACCAAAAAAATTAAGTTTGATTCTAATATGGGTTAAGTTTTTTACTTCCATCCTCAATATAAAGAAAAGTCCTTACATGATTGGTCATATTTGCAAAAATTCCAATTAGAGGTCAAGCTTGAGTCAGTTTCCTCCAATAAGTTTCTGCAATCAGGAATGAAAAGAGAATATAATTATTATAATATATGGTCTCAAAAGCCAAAGTTTCATTTTTTCACTTCCCATTCAGTATGTCATTACGCAGATAATTTCTTGTTTATTTTTTTCTCCATTCCTTACGCAGATAATTTCTTGTTTATTTTATTCTCCATTCCTTACCTCCACGTGTTTCATGTGATGAAAGGATTTCATAAAGGATTCATTCCATATTTCATTACGTAGATAATTCTTATTTATTGCATTCTTTAATTCCTTACATCCACGTGTTCATGTGATGAAAGGATTTGATTCTGATTTGCCTCTAATGATTTTTTTTTTTTATAATTTAAGGGCATCAGTGAAGAGGCCCTGCTCGAATCCGTGGAACACCATGCAAGCTCCACAAATCAAGTAAGTCTACGTCTTTAGTCCATATAGATTGTTCAAACTCGAAATAACTTGCACCCGGTTGTCGGGATAACAATATGGCCTTTAACAATTTCAATCCGCCACATAAAATAATTGCTATATGTATGGATTTCTAATGAACTTTTTCATAAGTACCATCTTGAAAAACATTTGATTGAATATCCAGAGTGGAGGCCTATCATTGTGCTTCTGTTTTCATCTCCAGCGCTGGTCGTCGACACCGTCGGACATTGACACAAGTATGCATTGCGTTTGACCACTAAACACGAACTCCACACCGCCGCCCCCCTCCGCCCTCCACCGCCACCGCTGTCCCAACCCTTTGCCGTCACCTCCCGGAGCAAGTGAGGTGGTTTTTTCTGTAGGCTTAGTGGTCGAGCGGACATATGATGCCCGCCGGGGGGGTAGGAGAGCTGGCGATCCTCCCTCGATGAAAACCAAAGAATCACATGAAGGATGATGGGCCAACTCTGATCCGAC